GTGAGTCCTCGCTGGGGCAAACGGGCACCCCACTTCCTGCTGCCATTTTTGGTTCCGATCGCGACTGGCTTTTCCCCTGCCGTCACTGGATCATTTCCCTGTTAGCCGCATGCGTTATGAAGGGGGGGTGCTGCTCAGAGGTGAGCCACGTGGGATTGCAGCAGGGGGCCACGGGCTGAGACCGTGGACTTACTTTTTAACAAGCATGATTAGTTGTTCTGCAATTAGCAGGATAATCGGGTTTCTAGACCTTGCTCCTTCATTGTAGATTCTCACACGTGGATTTTTATGGCTCAAAAAGTGCCGGTGGTGACTTGTGGGAGTGGGGAGCACTGGGAGGATGCCGAGGCCAGGCTTTTTCCCTTCCCTGCCTCCATCCTGTGACTGCTAATCGCGCTTCCCCAGCGCTGCCAGCTTTCCAGCGGCTAAACCTCAGGATCTGAGCATTTAATCCCCCTCCAGACCATGAACCTCAGGGCGTTTTGCGTTCACCCCAGGCCAGGCAAGGCTGCCCAAGCGTCGCATCCCGCTGGGGTGGAGGAGAGCCGAGGGGCAGCCGTTTTTTTTGTCTAAAGCCCCGCTGAGTCCCCAGCTAATGTATAACACGGGCAGCCCAGTGCCCGGTGTGCACATTAACTCGCTTTCACAACCAGCGTGGTCCCCGGCACCGTCTCCTGCTGGAACACGCACAGGATGTCTGCGTCCCTTTGCCTCTGGGTCTGCAGCAGAGCAACTTGGCTCAGAGGGAAGCATCGCTTTGGGAGGGGTGTAAAACCCCACTGACTCTTAAGAGGGAGAAGAAAGATGTGATGAGAGCCGAGGATGCCCTGCTGCAGAGCCGGGTGTTCTGTGCATCTAAACTCTTTTCTACGGGATTTACAAATGCTGTCTGAAATGCGCAGGGCTCCCCCGCCCCTCCCCGGCTTTTTGCACAGCAAGACTTGCGGCTGCTTTTCTTCTTGCAGGAACATCTCCTGTGGAGAAGGTAGCGGTATTTATTTGCCTTGCGATTATGGAGGAATTTGAGCCCGTGCCAAATGCTGCTTTCTCCTCAGAAACTGCAGCGACGTGGCTTTCCATGCGTCGGAGTGCACTTGTGGCCAGAGAGGGGCTGCCTGGCCTGGCAAAGCCTATCTAGCTGACGGTTCCTGGGATAACGCCGCCGTCCCGCTGCAGAGCCAGCGGAGCCATGCCCAGGAAGGATGACGACACCAAAAAGCCGGCATCGGAGACGGTGCCAGACCAGCACTGGAAACTACAGGTCTTCTACCTCTGCTTCTACGGCTTCATGACGCAGATCCGGCCCGGGGAGAGCTTCATCACCCCGTATCTCCTGGGGGCCGACAAGAACTTCACCCAGGCAGAGGTGAGCCGTGGGCAGCACGTCTCGTGTCCCCCTTTCCGTCACGCCGGGTACCCTGGGGCTGGCTGGAGCATCCTCCCGTGGTGCTGGGGTGCAGGTGTGCTGCATCCCGGGCAAAGTGGCAATTAGTGATGTGTGGTGGTGCTTTTTGAGGGGAGGAGAAGGTGGTGTTGCATGGGTCTGTCCAGCAGCATGTTTCTCTCTTGCTGAGCTACCAGGTCACCCTGGCCCCTAAGTCCCAGACTTAACTTAGCCCGGTGTAAGACCTTGTGCCTAGGCTGGCAACTGATTCGGGCCGGCAATGCCTGACCCCTGCCTGCCTGGGCAGCTGGTGGGAAGGCAGAGGTGTGCCGGGCTAGGAGAAGCCCTGTCCCATCCCACCAGGGAGACTTTCCTATGCCAGTATGGCACATCGTGTGGGGCACAGGGCTGGGCACCGCCAGATTGCTGGCAACGATGGGGTTAGACGAGGAGGGGTTGCGTGTCGTTGTCTCGCAACCAAGGGATGCTGGCCCCAGTCCCAACAGGCTGCTGAGTCCGTGGGAACGCTGCGTTCTCGGCACGGGAGGGGGTTGAGACTCAGCCAAGCCCCCAGCTGAGCGTGCTGCAGGTCACATTCTGCCTCGAGGAGGTGCCACAAAGGGAATCAGCAGCCAGTGCCCACCCAAACCGCACTCCTCTGGGCTCGGGGCATCCCCCAGGGATGTGTCCCGTGCTCAGCCTCTTGCACGCATGGCAGGTGACCAACGTGATCACGCCGGTGCTGACCTACTCCTACATGGCCGTGCTGGTTTTTGGACTACCTGCGCTACAAGCCGGTGCTGGTGCTGCAGAGCTTGAGCCACATCTCCATCTGGCTGCTGCTGGTGTTTGGCACCTCTGTCCTTGCCATGCAGCTGATGGAGTTCTTCTACGGCGTCACCATGGCCGCCCGCATTGCCTACTCCTCCTACATCTTCTCCCTCGTTGCCCCGTCCCGCTACCAGCGTATGGCCAGCTACTCCCGCTCCGCCGTCCTCCTGGGTGTCTTCACCAGCTCAGTGCTGGGCCAGCTCTGTGTGACCTTGGGTGGCGTCTCCTTCCTCACCCTCAACTATGTCTCCTTGGGCTTCGTCAGCTTTGGCTTCATCCTCACCCTCTTCCTTGAGCGGCCCCAGCGCAGCCTTTTCTTCAACCGGCCCGAGGGGGCTGGTGACGAGACTGCACCCACCGAGCTGGACAAGATGGCCGGGGGGGACAGCGGTGGGGGGAAAGGGGGCTGGCGTGAGGTGGTGCTGTGCCGGATGCTGCGGGAGGTGGGAGCGTTGGCTGGGCAACCCCAGCTCCGGCTCTGGTCCTTGTGGTGGGTATTCAACTCGGCCGGTTACTACCTGATACTGTACTACGTGCAGATCCTCTGGAACGA